TGGTGTCGACAATCTTTATGTTGATGGCCGTGTTGTTGGGAGTCTCGGCAGCACCCTGAGGAGCCGCATCCTCAGGGACAGGGGCCTGGGGAACGGGAGCCTGGGGGGGAACGTCTGCAGGACAGGAGTTGAATTAGCAAATGTTCCTGACGGAGAGCAATCAAGGTAGGTCTATGTCGTGGGAGGCTTGGAGGAAAGAGGGTTCAAGATGAGGACGAGGCCGACAGACCGTTGGCGCCAGACGGGCCGGGAAGAGGCGTCTGCTCATTGCCATCACGGGCGCTCTCCTGCTTGGGTTCCATCTCCGTAGTTGTTGGAGGTTGTGGATAGTACAGGACGTCGAAATTCGGATCGGTGGTGTTGTAGTTGGCAGACCTCGTTGTTGTCGGCTGAGATGTGGAGGTGAAAATGAGTTTGTTGTGGGTTGACTCGGTTTTAGGTGGGTGATCGAGGTGTTGATGGGTTCTGTGGCAGCTCGGGGACAAACGTGGAAAAAAAGGGAAGGCACGAGATTTGCGCATCCTAGGGCGTGCCTGCTGTTTCCGGACCAACTTCTCATTGGTGAGAAGCTGCCGGTGCCTTCCAGTTTGCTGCACTTTTTGTGAATCGCCTGGCAGCCCAGATAAGACCATGCGGTTTTCAATTCAAGATCCTAACATAGCAGAGCACGCTACTCAACTGCCAATTTATCGCCCATGTTAAACTGCCAGTGGTCACGCACACTGCAAAATGTGAGGTTTTTCACATTTGATTTATTCTCTCAGAGGTCAAGGGAAGGTACAAAAATAAAAATGTGATCGATGCAGGGATCGAACCTGCGATCCTCTGCGAAATACGTCTGTAAAGCAGATGCCTTAAACCACTGGGCCAATCGACCGTATGAGATGATCAAATTCGTATTGGGTGTCCACTTGTGGATCAGGCATGCACGCTACGGCGAGAAAGACCAGACCAGAGGACTTGGGGAGAGCAGAGTGATATTAGAGGTCTCGCTGAGATGTGGCGCTTATTTTATGTCAAATGAAGGCGTAAAAAAAAAGCAGTTTGATATATATAGTGGGCATTTGTAGTATTTAAACAACTAGTATATGCAAATTAGAATGAAGAGTTAGTATGAAAGACAAATTCAATTGCTGTAACCAACTATTGTTGTAACATCCCATCTCGCTCAGAGTCCCAACCTGAAAGGCGGTAAATTTAAGGTTAGAGGTCCTTCCTGCTCAGTCCTTCTTGCTCTTCGTGGTGCCAGCGGTAGACTGGAATGTCTATGGTTTTGCTGACCATTCAACTAACACCCTAGGCACAGCCTTTTGCACCCAGCCAACAATGAAAAGAAATCAAAATCGCCAGCCTAGCCATTTCGCTTCTGTTTGCGCCCAAACCTGCCTTCATTGTCGTCAGTTCTCTGTCTTTTTGCCACAATATCCAGTCAGCTTCCAGCCACGGAACAAACGCCTTGGTCACCGTTTGTTGGGTTTCGGAATCTCCCACTCCACTCCCCACGGAAAACGGCTTGGATATCCTGTACAGAGTCAAAATCGCAGGATCTAACTTCTCGAGAACTGGCCAGCCGACTATTTGCCGACCTTGGTTTATTGCAGCAGTTCTCAGCCACCAGTGAGTTGTTTTCCATCCTGCCAACATTCAGTTTTCTCTTAGAGACTGATTTCTTCTGGTGCCCAGGATCTGCTCGACGCGAACTCGATGCCGTTCAACGCTTCCGACGACCAAGGTAGCGAACTCGATGCCATTCAACGCTTCCGACGACCAAGGTAGCGCCTGCTCATGACCATGACGAATGAGAACGCGCATATCAGATACAAACGAGACACTCGATTCCTTGTGTACTGGGTGATCAACACGTCGAATGGCGTGATCCGAGGTCACTCTGTCGCCGACAATGATGGAAATCCGCTCTAGCCGACGACGACCGGCCACGCCACAATCTCAACAACGTTGGCAATAGCGCGTCGAATCGCGCACTTCGAGCAGTCTACTCCAAGCATCATTTTTCGGTCACTGAAGTACGTCATCGGAATCAGGACTTCATTCTACGAACAGTACCATGCTTTTCAGACGTCTCGGCTGCATTCTGAGCTCGAGAGAAGCAACGCGTGCCATAAGGTCTTCATCTATGCCCTTTCCATAGTTTCCAATATTCTGAGAGGCCAAAACTGGGACCGCTGTCAAAGTCTCGAGGACGACGACCCTCTCGAAGGAGTCCAAAACCTCGGGACCATGTTCGGCAACATGTTCACTGCTCTATCGTCTCATCCAAATGGTTCGGCATCAGACCATGAGCCACAAGAGGCGTCGTCAATGCATGTCCCTGCCCAGAGGCAGGCTCGGAAGAAATGCGAAAGGGTGAGAAAGCCGGCGAAGGGAAAGAAGGGAAAGAAACACAACGTCTCGAGAGCCCTCAAGACCGGCCCTTGCAACCGCGTGTCCCTTACTGACTGCGATATTGATTCCTTCGGAAGCTGTTTCATGGCTACACTCGCTCTGGCTCAGGGGTGGTCTTCACTGAGAACGTACATACAGGACATCTGGCTCGAGGTCGCTAACGAGGGGTTCAATAGCGTCGTCGCAGCAGAGCAATCAAACATGGCGGTTTCCATGATCCAGCAAGACCAACTGGCTATTTTCGCCGAGTTCCCCAACCGTGACGGCTACGGAAATTTACTCCGCACCTTCCAGGCTGAACCGAAGGAGAACACCCGCTCTTGAGGATGCAACTGGTATGCAGTCTTTCTGGTGGCCACTCTCTATGGTCCCGACAAAGCGTATTGGGGAAAAGAGTCAGGCTGGATGGACATGGCCGAGCAGTCTATGGTTCATGCATACTATGACTTGTTAGATTTCATCGCCGACTACCGCAAAAGTCGGAACGGGAAGCCCACCAAGGCGATGCAAATGAGGATCCGTGATTGGGAACCGAAATTGGATCTACAACAAGCCACAAAAGCCCAGAGATTAGCATGGCGCCGTCAATACATGATCAAGTGGCTGTATGATCTAGTAAACTTCAATGCCCTTCAAGCCTTTAAGATTCGAGTGTCCATAGACGGTCAGCTGGCTTTGGAAGATCTTGATTGGTATTCTGGCGGTGTTTATGGAAAGGAGAAAAGTCTTATTGGACTAAACTTTGCAAGCTTTCTCACTGGCCTCGTCATGAAGAAGTCGGGGACCCCGCATGAGAGCAAGGTTCTTCCACACCATGTGTTCAGCTGCAATGCACTGTCGACTCCTTCACAGTTTCTTGTGGTTAGTCTATGCCCCATCTCAAAGGCCATGTGTTGGAGCCCCCGCGTTCTTCCACAATTGGACCGAGGAAATCAGGGAGTTTGTGTATGGGAACAAAGCTAGCCGTCGTGGAGGATACATAATTACAAGGGGCAAGTGCGCTGAAGCAGCTTCTTCGGGAAAAGCATCAAGTTAGCCGGGGCTTCGACGATTACAACTTCACGAATGAAATGATCAAAAATCTGGAATCAGAGCTTTCCCAGTGGCTTACCCCAACAAACTCACAGAAGTCTGTGGCCTCGCCGCGCAAGTTCCCACCGCTGGTTGCAGAGGCCTTTTGCAGCACTCACCTTGGCTTTGCGGTAACAGCTTGATCGAAGGTCTGGATATGGCGGTTTGTACAGTCATGATCATCTGGGAATCCATCCCGGAGCCCATGATGCTCACACTCTTCCATAACATGTTGGTCTAAGAGGGACTGTTGGAAGGGATTGAGGTTCTTGGCAAGATGAAGTATTACTTTCCTGAGTCAATCCGAGTAGACGGATGCCCGGTTTCAGACCGTTTCTCAAAGTGGGTGAAATCTATGTCAACATGCCCAGGAAACCGCAGCGGTTCTCAAGCTCCGAATCAGCGGGGTCTTAATGGTCGATCCACCGCCGATAATCCCAGCCCGCGACTTTATTATTCAACCAAGTCGCAATTGATGGTCTATGGCGCAGCTGCATGGAACTTACAACGTGTTCCTGACTCTGTCCTCCGGCCACTACGGAATCTATGGCGGCTCCGATTCAGCCAAACGCCCGTGCACATGGACTCAGTCACAGGAAAGCAGAAGCTCCGAGACACACCAATTGTTTGCCGGCTTCGCGACCTCCAGTTTCCGGAGGGCTGCATCCCTGAACTTTTCAAACAGGCCAGCGAATCTGCAACGGAGATCGTTGCCAGTCGAGCCAAACCCTTGAGTCACTCACGGAACTTGAAAGGCGTAATCCTTCAGAACGTTAGGCTAGATGTACACGCCTATCCGCAGGCCAAAGCAACACACCTAGGAACTTTGAGTCTGGCAGATGTACCGAGGACGGATATGATCAGCTCAGTTCATGTCGTGTTGTCAGACATCGAGAAAGGGCTGGGCTCAATGAAGAATCCACTTTATGCCCACGTCTACGACAACCAAAGTGGTTTGTTCAAGTCTGAGCGTGTGGAACTAACTTGGGTGGTCTATTTAGAGGCCGTCGGGGTTGTTGGCGGGGGATTGCGGACTCTCTTCGGGGTCGAACCTGTCTGTTTCCAATCACAGCATCTGGGAGGAGCTGGATACCGACTCGAACAAGCTCAGCGAGGCGCATGAGTGTCCAACGAAGGACGACAGATGTTCCGTCACGTTGTACATCTTGATCTGGTAATCGCACACTTTGGAATGGGAATGAAATAATGACACTCTGCACGAGACAAATTGGAACCAAGAAGCGAGTGTCCAGGGTGCTAGGTTGACTATCGTGACAGGCTGTGGAAGCTGAAAGCCGGAGTTAGTACGATGGTTTATAATCGAAGGGAATGAGAATTTGAGGCTGTGCAGCACACCCAGAAGACGATGGTCCCATTGCATTCAACTTAGTAGGGCTGAGATACAGATACAGGGCGATAATCCCAAGGTAGAAAATCAGGTGTGAGGTCTGGTATGCTACGTGAAACGAAAGGAGCCAAAAAGAAACAAAACGCTGGGGGGTTGGATACAAAAAGCATAAAAATAATGGACGAACTGGGGTTTGAACCCAGGACCCTCCGCAAGCAAGGTAGATGTATCATGCGAAGCGGACATTCTACCACTGAACTATTCGCCCTTTGTTCTGGTTGATGAGTGCCGCGGAAGATGGAAGCCATCAATGGGACGGCCAGCACTGCGGCAGGACGAGGGCATGGAGTCTGACCTTCCAAATCGTGGTGTTATCACTAGCCAGTCCGCCAGAAGGGCAGGCGGGCGGCTTCCGTAAAAGCTGGGGCGGATGGACTGCCCCCCACCCCCCTTCCTGCCTGGTCCGCAGTCCTGACTTCGCTGACGACACCTCAGACGAACGAAGGAGCTTTTATTTGGAATGGAAGGTTCTGATGACGGTGCACGAAGTTGCTGCTGCAGCTGGAGCCACAAGTGTCGTTACCCAGGTAGATAGCCCGGTATGTATGGAAGGAGCTGCTCAGCTTTGGGGCATCCTCTTGCTCTCGGCCTACCTCAGCATGTGAAGTCAACCACCAGCCTCACCTCCACTGACCTACCTTCACCTCAAGTCAACGTTCTCCCACCATTCGAACTTCACTCCCAAAACATCTCTCTCGACGCAACCCATCACAACAGGTCACCAAGTATCTCTCCATTCATCCTCACCGATCACATTTATCCGAAATCACAATGTCGTCGCAAGCCCCCAACCGCAACTTATGGGAGTGTTTCTCAGGCATGCCAACCGAGATGCAAATCGCAATCCTGCAACACCTACCAAAGAGGAAATTGATTCTCTTCGCCCAGCTTAACAGCAGATGTTTCGATCTTGCTATCGAAGTCAGATGGAAAGAAGCCGAGCTGTCTGCACTCATACAGGTGCCGTCTCGCAACGGCAGAAGGCAAACGTATGCCAACCATGTTAGGACTCTCCGAGTTAGACAGATATCCTCAGAGACTTTGCCAAGCGTGTTGGCTCTCAGCTTCCCCAAGCTTCGATCCCTGAAGAATTTTGATATCACTCGGTGCGACGCAGCTGCTTCGGATCTCGTTCGCCACTTCGCCCAGCTCAACAGAATTCTCAACTTGGAGATGTTATCCTCCCAGTGGGTCCCTGAAACTTTCATCGGGAAGGTTCGCAACTTCAGGCATCTGAAACGGCTTGATATCGACTTCGCCTTGGGTTCCTCTCTCAATCTCGAGCCCCAAAACGTCATCTCATGGCCAAAATTGGAGCACGCTTTGGTGCGATTCGGCAGCGGCAGGCCTCCTGAAAGCCTGGTCCAGGATTTCCGAAAATGCCCCGTCCTTGAGAAATTGGAACTCAAAACAGGGCAGCTTCCTAGATTGATGCTTCTCGGGCCGTCGGTTGCTCGCGGCGCGGCCGGTTTTGAAGCACTTCGGCACCTTGACATTCGCATCAGCCGCCACACTGCCATTCAGGAAATCTCGCGACTCACTGACTTGACTAGCCTGACAATAGATTTAGGCGACACTGTTAATTTCTCTCCCACCAGTTTCTCCGAACTCGCGAAGCTTCGGGACTTGAAGAGTCTTTCTCTGACCAGCACAAGACAACTCAGCCTGCACCCTCTTTTCGACCGGGAAGTTGAGCAATCTGATATTCTTGACTTGATTCGTCACCTCGGCAAGCTGGAATACTTCAGCTGGAATCTCGAAAGTGTTCTCGACACCCGTGGACTTATCGAGGGGATTGCGCGCCTCCAGACGAATTTGCAGAAGACTTATCTAGGTTTCGCCGTACACATTCCCGATATTTTCGAGCGTAAAGACGTTACGATGAAGACTCAGAAAAGCCTCCGGATCCTTCGTATACGAAATACGCTGTTCGACACATATCTTCCTGGCCACAAGGCGACGGACGTGGCTGCTCGAACAGTCAAGGCTTTGTTCCCATCACTCATGGTTTTCGAAGTGGAGGCAGAAGGCTCCATAGAGCACTGGTGAAGCCTTTGACTACAAGTTTCAACAGCTAGAATGACAGTGGACTGGTCTGGGTTTAGGCTTGCAAACGCGAAGGATGGTCTTGTCTGTCTGGCGGATATTTGTAGGGGTCTGCTTGGTCACGAAAGGCCTGAGTCTGATCTCGAGAATCATGGAAACACTTGGAAACCCCTGGCGGTAGGAATACCTTCTCGCCTGTGTAATTTACGCCCAAAAAGATTGGGGAAACGGTGGTCTGCACCAGCGGTTACAGGACGGTATGCAGCTTCGCAACCAAGGAGACGGTCTTGAGAAAAACTAGCGTAGTATGCATCGAAAGGGAGATAGGATTCAGCGACTTCAATTCACAGCAATGACAGCCGTGTGAACAAGTTTAGGGCAAAGCTTCATCTCGTGTGACGTTGAGTTGGTGCCTCTTGTCAAGACAAGAAAACAGTAGATGGTTTGTGCTCCCATATTCATTGACGCCATAGACTGACGCGATGCGAGGAAATCTTCAGCTCTTCCTTCGGCAACCAACGCCGATATCTTTGCCCAGCCTAGACTATCTGAACCATACATCCCTAGGTGGAGGTCACACGCGGGGCGGCAAAATCCCCGCATTCTGGACATCCCCAAGGAAGACGTTCATCCATCGTCTTGGCAAATCCACTTTTGTCCCCAATCCCAGGGAATCTAAACCATCTAGCCCAATCGACTTATCTTGCCAAGTCGCCAAGCGACCAGGTCTTCGTGAAATCGCCGGTTAAGGAAATCCGAATGACTTGAGTGAATTGAGGTTGCTGTTGCCGCCTGTGAACCTCTTTAGATGAACGAACCCTCCAATGTAGCCCGGCAAGTTTCTAGCTGCTGGAAATTTTCCAACAATATTTGCTCGGTATTTGGGTGCAAAGATCTTCTACGTGTCATCTTTGAGCCTGAGTATGACCGACAGCACCAAGGCCCCCGATGCCACGGATACGATGCCGCCATCTCCGCGGGCAGATCCGCCCAAAGGGTTTACGGCCGAAGATGTAATCAAGCCCAGTGACGAACTCGACGAAGATGAGGAACTGGCCGTTGCGCTACAGAATCATGTGCCTGATACCGCAGAGGAGAAGCGCCTCGTCCGGAAGATAGACTTCGTGCTGCTTCCATGCCTTTGGTGGATGTACGTGCTAGCCTACCTCGATCGGGGAAACATTGTAAGAAGGCATCCCGTGCAGTCATGGTCCATCATGGAGAGATGCTGACATGATTTTGAGGCCAATGCGAATGCTGCCGGTATGAGCGATGACCTTCAAATGGCCGATAATGGTGGGTTATTTCCATGCTTGAGAATTTTGCGGCAAACTGACGGTTTCGTTGCAGACTACTCGCTGCTGGTCTACCTTTTCTTTGTAGGGTACTTTCTCTGCGAGGTCCCTTCAAACATGATTATGAACAAATGTCGGCCTTCTATCTACCTTCCCACCATTGTCTGGGTCTGGGGTTGTGTCGTTATTGGTCTATCGCAGACAAAGAGTTACAACGGCTTTTTAGCCGGCCGTTTCTTTTTGGGTTGCATTGAGGCTGGTCTGTTCCCAGGTGCCATCTTTCTCCTGACCTGCTGGTACACAAAAAAAGAGATCGGTGCGTTTCCCATCCAGGCAACTTGGAAGCCATTGCTTACAACCCCACAGGCAAACGGTTCTGTATCTTTTACACGTCTGGCTGCATTGCTCCGGCCCTCGGTGGTATCATGGCTGGCGCTATCATCAAGGGTCTCGAGGGAACGCGCGGGATCCCTGGATGGCGCTGGCTTCTCATAGTCGAAGGAGTTCTCACAGTCGCTTGCGGGTTTGGGCTATATTTTATTCTCCCCGACTATCCTCAAAATGCGCGATACTTTTCTTCGGAAGAGCGTTGCCTCGCCAGGATCCGGATTCTATTCGACCGCCAACTGAGCGTCCACGCCACGACTCGCCGGATGACCTCATGGGAAGCGTTCAAGGCAGTGGTATGCGATGGCAAGACGTGGTTCTTCCTCGTGTCATACAGCATCATCATCCTCGGCATGTCCATCTCGTACTTTGTCCCGACGATCCTCAAGGCGATGGGCTACACCAATGTCACGGCGCAGTGGATGACGGTTCCGATTTGGATCACGGGCGCGGTGTGCCAGCTGGCGTTGTCGTGGACATCAGACAAAACCCAGGACCGTCAATGGCACAGTGTCGGCCTGTTTGGACTCGCGGCCGTCGCTTGCCTCGTTTCTGCACTGGTCAGATCCGCCATCGCCAAGTACGTCATGATGTGTCTGCTCGTGGCGGGGCTGTACACGGGTCTGCCGCTGATGCTCAACTGGACAAGCGAGTCGATTCCGTTTCCGGACCAGAAGAGGTCGGTGGCCATCGCAATGGTTAACTCGTTTGGACACCTCGCCATCATCTACGGGAGCTATCTGTGGCCCAGCACGGGTGCGCCACAGCACTTGGTCGGGTTCTCGACTTTGACTGCCACCTGCGGCCTGGGGGCCCTGCTTGCCATCGCGGCTCCTTGGGTTTTCAGGCTTCTTCCGAAACAGCCAGTGACGAAGGTCGAGCGCGAAATCATGGCCCTGAATGAGCATGGCTCTTGACTTGTCACGCTCGCAGAATTCCGCAGACGGTAACTGTGTTGAAGGCAGCTCCTCCCTCGACACACCGGAACGTTTTCCACCTGGAGTTTCCTGTTTGCTAGAAATGGAACGGAAGAAGGGTGGTGCCAAGGCAGCTTCAGGAAAGCCCAAAGCGGCCGTGGCTCCCGAGGAGCACTTGCGGTGGCCACGATACCTTACCTTACCTAGTTAATCTTGCCTGCCTTATTGGAAATTTAAACGCTCTCTCGAGCTTTACGCGCAGGCGTCACTGCCACTGCATGCTCCAGCCTGTCGTTCTTTCTCAAGTAAGTTTGGAAGCAGCCCAGCCTCAAACTTCCCTCCTTCATATCAACAGCAAGCACGAAACAACTGCACCTACCTCAGCCAATTGACCCGACGAGTCTGCCACATTTTCAGTGACACGCCTCTGCCTCGACTCTCCCCCCTCCTCCGACCTTTTTCCTCCGACATCATCACTGCAATATCAACATCGGGCGCAAAGATAATCCATCCCATTCCGCATTGCATACGTACTTTATCAAAGCCGTTTTCGCAACTCCATT